TTTCTATACGTTTGAATAATGATCCTGATAACGTACTTAACGGGAACCACAGGGTTTTTGTTACATATTGTATATATAATAATATTTACGTGGTAGAGCCATGCTGCAGCTATATTAATAGTATAGTTGTAGCACGAATGGGTCGGCTCGACCGGGTAAGGACCACGCTCTCACAGAATACCAGTGTAAAATAGCAGCTTAATGCTGCTGTGTTTCGTATGGTGAGTGTAGAGAACTGGAGACCCCTTTTACTGAAAAATAGGCATTCTATCTTAGTCCTTACGGCCGACAACGCATCTGCATTTTAATTAGCAAACAAAGACAGATGTAGATGTCTACGAGCCACAGCAACCACTTACCATCAGGTGAACTGTGTGCTCATTTTTCACCCTTATTCTATATAAAAAAAATAAAGTGGACCCTTTTCAGTGGCATAGAAGCGATTGAAAAGTTCTTATCGCTACTATAGCACTTATTTATGAAGGAAAAAACCATTACATATACCTCTGAAGCGCTTTGTTATATGGGTAGTTCTACAAACTAAGGAATTTTTGGCGGCTCAGCTAAAATATGATAAAAAAATTGTTAACAACAATTTTTTTTGGATGGAATTCTATTAATTACATTTGTTTCTAGATGGTCACTAAAAATAATTAAGATTCACAATTCTTTTCTGAACAAAATTACTGTTCAAACTGCCGAATTCTCAGGATCCTGCAGTGTCCCTCGTACAAATTTTAATTCAAAGTGCGTCGCGATACATTTATTTCTACATTAGGGTCTTAAAAGAATCCCAAATGAATAAGTTTACTATTTTTCCTGGCTAGGTAGAACAATTACTATAGTATTTCCTTATAAAAATATTGAATAAATCTTGTTTACATTTTGTCCCCACGATTTTATATCAGTATCCTGTTCGCTGTTGAATTAGCAAATATTCACTAGACTATTTGCCGTGCGTCTTTACCGTTACGCTGAGTCGATAGTACCTACGAAAGAGACAAAGAATGTCATCTATCTATTTGCACCTAGCACGTTGTTTAGTGAGTCGAGTGCGTTCAGCGAGTGAAGTGGTGTCATAATCAGTGGAGTTCACAGAATCCTGGTAAGATTTTTATTTACGAAATAAATAATGCATATGACTAATTTTAGCGTGTTGATATGTAAGATGCTAGCGCGTAGGCCTAGTTTAGGTTATTTTTTTTTAAGTTATAAATTGGTGTGTTTATTTTAATTTTAGACAGAAATTATCAGGAACCTGGCCTCAGGATCCTGTCCAATTGGTACCCAGGATACTGAGAACCATCCAGGATCCTGAGTAGATCATATTAAAAATATTGTTTCTGTGCAATAATAGTATTTTTTTTACACATAAACATTAAACTACAAATAAATAATTTAATAAATAAATTGTACTTACTCTCGTAATTTGTTTATATACAGTTATTTAGTTTTGGTGGTGGTCTAAGTAAAATTATTCTTATAATTGTTTCGAAACGTCGGATTAAAAGTATAAAATAAACAAACATTTAATAGATCTTACAAATATTATATTTGAATATTATATTTTGTTACATAGGAAAAATGGCGCCAAAAAAGAAACAAACAAAAGAAGAAATATTAGAAAAGAAAAGGATAGCTGAAAAAATTAGATATGAAAAAATTAAGAACGATCCTCAGAGATTAGCGGCTGAAAAAGAAAAAAGAAAGCAAAAGTATAAAAAGCTGCGAGAATCTGGCAAAAAAAAACTAGTTTCTGAAATGTCGGCTCGTGAAAAAAGGCAAGCTCGCAGAAGTTGGAGGGAATACTCAGAAAAATCCTACAAAAAGAATAAGTTACTAACTAATGTGATGAACCACTTTGTTAGAGAAAATACTCCGTCTAGTTTAGATGATGAACCTGTAGGTCCTGAGTTCCGTGATCATGAACAACCTCAGCAAGTAAATTTTGAGATAAATGTTCCTCAAACATTATCGTCGAAGCCAAATCCAAGATTGGAATCAGTACGAGAACGGTCACAGAAGCAGCGTCATAAGAGAAACCAGGAGATAAAACAAAAAAATGCGCTAATAGTAAAATTGAAACAAAAACTTAGCAAATATAAAAAGAGATGCCAGAGATTGAAAAAACAAAAGAAACAATTGGAGCTTACGCCTAAAACCGCAATGACTAAACTTGCTGAAGATCCAGCGACACGGGTAGACGTTGTCAAAAAGGCTTTATTTGGTGATGTGTTGGAAAAGCAAATATCAGATAATATGTCTAATCTGAAGACTCGTCAAGAGAAGAAAGTTGCAAACAAATTACTTTTGGGCCAGATTGTGAATGCAAATAAGGCTTGGAAGTTGAAAAACAAGGTTATAACTTATAAAAAGATGTGGAGTCAAGAAAAGCAAAAAAAGGCTGCAATAAAACAAAAAAGATGCTTAAAAAAGATAGTTCAAACATTTTTGGAAGACGACAAGTACAGTAGACTGTGTGCAGGCAAGAAAGAATTTATAAGAAATAAAGCAACTAAACAAAAAGTACAAAGACGCTACAGGTTAGACACATTAAAAAATCTCCATAAAGAATATTTGAAGGCAGGTAATGTCACTATGAGCTACTCCATGTTTGCGAGGCTAACACCCGTCTGGATAGTCGCTCCAAAATTATCAAACAGAGATACATGTTTGTGTACTGTTCACGCAAATTTCCAACATATTGTGACTGCTCTTTATAATGCAAAAATTATAAACGTTCCAACATATCAAAATCTATTAAACGCAGTTTGCTGTAACAGATTCCATGAACAATGTCTGGAAAGAAAATGTGAAGCTTGCACTAGAAAAAGTGTTCCTATGATCGATTTTAATGCAGACATGCCGATTAGTTACAATCACTGGATAGCATCAAAGGAAATCATAATAGACATAAAAACTAAGAAAGAAAGACAAGTGGTAAAACAAAAAAGGGAAAGTGTCTCCACCACAGCTCAAGAACTTGTTTTGAAATTGAAGACGGATTTGAATACAATTTTTCAGCATGAAAGGAACATTGTTCACCAGTACCAAGTAATATCGGAAAAGAAGAAGTCCTGAACTGAACAAGAAGCCATAGTGCATATGGATTTTTCAGAAAATTTTAGTACGAAATATTACGAAGAAATCCAATCTTTTCATTTTGGGGGATCTCGTACGCAGCTCTCACTTCACACAGTAGTTATGTATTTGAAAGGATCTACAAGATCGTATTGCACTGTATCAACGGATTTGAGTCACAATGTTTATGCTATTTGGGCCCACTTAAAACCAGTACTGGAAGAATTACCATATCAAATAGAAACCATCCATTTTTTGAGTGACGGTCCAGTAACACAATATCGTAACAAAATAATGTTTTTCACGCTAGCATCTAAAATGACATATCTGTGCCCTGGACTTGTAAATTGGACTTGGAATTACCACGAAGCAGGCCACCAGATGGTGTAGGCGCTGTATGTAAAAGAGCTGCCAATGATGTCGTAGCATGTGGAGGTGATGTTACTAACCTAACTGAGTTCTGCGGAGTCATTCAAAATCGCTGCCCTGGTGTGACACTTTTTATCGTCACTAAAAGTGAAATTGAAGATATGGAAAAGCTGATTTCTAGCGATCAACAGAATTTAATACCTTTTAAGGGGACACTCAAAGTCCATCAAGTACAGGGCAGTGCTTTCATGCCAAGAAAGCTACAATTGAAATCCCTCAGTTGTTTTTGTGATGAGGGTATTATGTGTAAACATTACCGGATAGGTTTACTAGAATATTCTGCAGGATCACGACAAATATTTAAAGACGTCTACGAAAGTGAGACGGAATTAAAAGATCAGCCAGATGATATGAGCGTTGCAAGCGATCTTACTTTGAATTTGGAAAATCCAGAAGTTTTAGCCACCATGCCTGATTTGCAAATTGACCCGACTACTCTCTTCCCAGACCTATCACAGGAGCCGTTAATAGAAAAAGGAAAACAAAGAAAAGTTAAAACCCAAGAAATAAAAGTTGATACTGTCACCGAACACCCAAAAAAGGGAAAAGAAATGATATCAAGGAAAGACAAAGTTAAAAAAGCGGCTAAATACAAAAAACAAGACTCAAGACAGAAAAAGAAATTTAATTCTAGAAAACAAACAGATAAAGAAAATGAATCAAAAAAAGCACAGACAAATAAATACGAGTTCAGAGACTGCGAGTGCCTTATATGTGGTGTTCTCTACAGTGAAGATACGTCAGGAAATGACTGGGTCCAGTGTCTAATATGTAATAATTGGGCACAAGATGGATGTATTAAAGGTGAATCTACATTATTTACATGCCCTGGGTGTTTAGCTGATTGTGATTACAAAAAATAGTTTAAAAGAATTGAAACGAGACTGTCAAAATTATTATTTTTGTTACTAGATTTAAGTAAATTACTAGATTGAAGTGTCGTTTAGTCACAATTTGTTACAAAAACTTCGTATTGTTACCTTTAAGAGATATTTTATTATTGAGAGAGAGATTATTATTATCCTTATGTTCAATAATCATTTGATGATTAATGTTCCTGTTGAAGGCTGTTCTAGGTACAGAATTAGTATTTAAGCTACTTTTTGTTATTATAAAAGATACTTTGATTATTACAAAATAATGTTAAGAGGCAAATTTTTAAAATTTGTGACATAAATTATTGATCTCGATTGATTTTTGTTGTTTTCCTCAGCTTCCTGGTGACACTTTCAGTTTCCTGTGGCTCGATTTTTTTTAAATGGCTATAAATCAAAAAATATTAAATATTTTGACTGTTCCATTTAGGATAAGCTAAAAGACACTGTACTCTATTTATTAGACTGAATTCCGCCACCAGAATGTATAAAAAATGTCGGGCCGAAATCAGGCTCGAATTCTTCCTTAGTTTGTAGAACTACCCATATAACTTTTGTGCTTGTTAGGTTCGACCACTAGTTATAATAAATCGATATTAAATGGTGTTCCCTCAGATCGTGACGGCGCTGAACAAGAAATGGCACCCGGAGCACTTCGCCTGCAACACGTGTCGCAAGCCCATCGACGGCGCTAAGTTCCACCAGCACGACGGCGGCGTGCACTGCGTGCCCTGCTACGCCAAGAACTACAGCCCGCGCTGCCACGGCTGCGGCGACCCCATCACTGACGTAAGTCTTTTTTATAAAATAATGAAAGGCAAACAGGCACAACGGTCCACCTGATGGTAAATGGATGCTATAGCTCATAAACATCGAAATTTATTCTCGATTAAGAATCAAAATGCAGACGCGTTGTCACCCGTCTTGTATAGGACTAGGATGGAATGCATCGTTTCCAATAAAAAGGGTATCCGGTTCTCAAAACTCACCATACGAATCACAGTAGCATAATCTTATTTTACGCCGGTATACTGTGACAGCGTGATCTTTCCGTCCGATCCATGGCTCTACCACGTATAAAAAGATGATAGTTTTGGTTGAAGCCCGTAATTTTTTTTATAAATGTACCGATTAGCTTGACAAAAGCCAAATTCACTCTTGCATTGAAGACAGCGACATTATAATCGAATGGAAAGACAGACTGCTGGCAAATTATTCCACTCTTTTGCTGCTCGCATTATGAACGACGAAGCAAACCAACCGTTTGATTCGAATGCGTTTTACGTCGCCAACGGAGTGAAGACCAGCTGGGCTTCTGGTAGTACGATGACGGAACGGAGAGGAAAGAATTATGTCGTACAATTCCTGCGCACTTAAAATCAATGCTACTTTTGAGCGTTAGCTCGCATCTAACGTTACATAAACGTGAAAATAGTTTCCATATATTAAACACAGAACTTTAAACATAAGACATTAATGCACTCTTACGTTTGATAAAAGAAAATGAAACAAAAACCATTGGCATAAAATGACGCAACGCTGTTTCGTGTAAACAAGAGGCTCCTTATAAGGTAGTAAAATATTTTACTGCTCTACCCACACCCCTTTGTCATAATTGCATAGGTCATAAACTACTCTTGACTTAAACGTCTTGGATTATACCAATAACTATTTAAGGTAAACTGGGCTAAATTGTTGTTAAAGAGTTTAAAGTGCGAGACGTTTGTATGATCCCGCATACCTAATGCAGCTACTATTTGGCCGTCTGTGGAAAAGGGAAGATGTGTTCCAAGTGGTAGTACGGAGCTTGGTACATATGGAGAGTTCTTCGGAAACTTTAATAGCGCGATTTAGACATAGACAATTTTTAGTCCGCTTACACTATTGTATACCTGTGTCTTATAGTGCGTGATGAAAACTCGAAATTTTTTTCACTGGTTACGAGGCATTGGATCTCAGTCCTCAAGAGTTACAACACACAAGCGAAGCGATGAAAGAGCCCCGGTTGTGGTATAAACTCTCTCTTAAACGTAGACGCGTGGACTCTTTGTATACGCCAATGGTGACCACCGTGGGGTTTTAGCCGGTAGAAGTCCGGCATACGTGGTAGAGCCATGCTGCAGCTATATTAGTAGTGTAGTTGTAGCAGGAATGGGTGGACTTGACCGGCGAAGGACCAGGCTCTCACAGAATACCAGCGTAAAATAGCAGCTTAACACTGCTGTGTTTCGTATGGTAAGTGTAGAGAACCGGAGACCCTTTTTACTGGAAACGAAGCATTCCATCTTAGTCCTCACGGGTGACAACGCATCTGCATTTTGATTCGTAGTCGAGGATAAATGTAGGTGTCCATAGACATTGCTTTGGCCCATAGGCCACAGCAACCACTTACCATAAGGTGGACTGTGTGCTCGTTTGTTACCCATAGCCTATAAAAAATATAAAACAACACAACATAGTATTAAATATAAAAACATCTTCACATCTATAAAGTACGTATTTATAGACCATGAAAACATCACTGACATGTTGAGAAAACTAGTCTGTGTTTGAGTTGTGAGTTCAATTAGTTGACCACAGATAATATTATTTAGTTCTGAATCACAGAATTTATTACATGGCGCGTATATTAAGCTATATAATTTAATTATGAAAGTAAATAAGTCGCCGTATCTGACCGAGAGTTTGGTATAATATGCAGAGTTGTTCGGAAACAATCTCCCTGAGATACCGCGTAGATACAGATTTATTTCCATAGAACTTCGCCTCCAGGTCCTTCAAAAGAGTTATTGCCAAGGCAAAGTCAGAGCACATAGGCAGAATTGGCGAGAAACTAGTTCGCCTTCCTTCGGGAACCCGTGCATTCTGGTCTCTCGCCAAGGCTGTCCAAGGGAATTTCTGTAAGCCATCACTACCATCTCTGCACAGGGAGGATGACTCACTGGCCCATGACGCAAAAGACAAAGCCGACCTTTTAGGCTCCCTTTTTGCGTCCAACTCGACTCTTGATGACGGGGGGAAAACACCGCCAACCATCCCGCGGTGTGAGTGCTCCATGCCGGATGTGCTGTTCTCACAGCGTTCGGTTCGCAAAGCACTGCTCTCCCTGGACATCCAGAAGTCGAGTGGGCCTGACGGAATCCCCCCAATTGTGCTGAGGACGTGTGCTCCGGAGTTGGCACCGGTCCTAACGCGTCTTTTCCGGTACTCCTACTCCCAAGGCGTAGTCCCGAATTCATGGAAGACAGCTTTTGTCCACCCGATCCCTAAAAAAGGCGACCGCTCAGACCCATCCAACTATAGGCCTATCGCGATCACCTCCTTGTTCTCCAAAATAATGGAATCCATTATTAACTGCCAGCTCATCCGGTACCTTGAGGATCACCAGCTGATTAGTGACCGCCAATACGGTTTTCGTCGGGGTCGATCAGCTGGTGATCTTCTGGTCTACCTGACCCATAGATGGGCGGAGGCAGTAGAGTCCAAGGGGGAGGCGTTGGCCGTTAGTCTGGACATTGCGAAGGCCTTCGATCGGGTTTGGCACAAAGCGCTTCTTTCGAAGCTCCCTTCCTATGGGCTTCCCGAGAAATTGTGCAATTGGATCACCAGCTTCCTTGCAGATCGGAGCATCAAGGTCGTTGTAGACGGTGCATGCTCTGACTACAAGCCTATTAACGCTGGTGTTCCACAAGGCTGTGTGCTATCACCAACGCTGTTTCTTCTGCATATCAATGATATGTTGCTAACTGGTAACATTCATTGCTATGCGGATGACAGCACTGGTGATGCTCTATACACCGGCCGTGCCAATATTTCTCGGGAAAACGTCGCTGAGTACCGGAACAAACTTCTGTCTGAAGTCGAGTCTTTGCTGAGCAAAGTCTCGGATTGGGGGCGACTAAATCTAGTCCAGTTTAATCCTCTGAAGACACAAAATTGCGCGTTTACCGCTAAAAAGAACCCCTTTGTCGTATCTCCTCAGTTTCAAGGCACTCCCCTTCTTGCCTCAGCCAGTATCGGTATCCTCGGAGTCGACATATCGAGTGACGTGCAGTTTCGTGGTCACTTGGAAGGGAAGGCCAAATTGGCCTCTAAAAAGCTTGGCGTGCTCAGCAGAGCGGGACAGTATTTCATGCCGACACACCGCCTGCAACTTTACAAGGCGCAAGTTCGGCCTCACATGGAATACTGTTCCCATCTCTGGGCAGGGGCTCCCCAGTGCCAGCTCCTTCCACTTGACCGCATCCAACGCAGAGCTGCTCGAATCGTCGACGACCGAGCCCTTTCCGATCGGCTCGATTCATTGGCACTGCGAAGAGATGTTGCATCCCTTTGCATTTTCTTTCGCATCTACCATGGGGAGTGCTCTGAGGAATTGTTCGGATTAATCCCAGCCGCCAAATTTCACGAACGCACATCGCGGCAGAACTCCCGATACCATCCACACCATCTGGATGATTGGCGGTCCACCACTGTGCGATTTAGAAGATGTTTTCTTCCTCGCACGACCTCCTTGTGGAATCGATTACCATCAGCGATTTTTCCGGACCGATACGACTTAGGGACCTTCAAGAAAAGAGCGTACTCCTTTTTGAAAGGCCGGCAACGCATCTGCGATTCCCCTGGTGTTGCAGTTGTTCATGGGCGGCGGTAGTCACTTACCATCAGGTGAGCCGCATGCTCGTTTGCCCCCTCTCCTATAATAAAAAAAAACGAAGGCAAAGACAAACAAAGTTCGATTCTAAATGACGGCACAACAAGTGTGATTTCCCGTAAATTAACATTAATAGCCTCAGCGGTGAACGATGACAAGTTAGAAAACCTACATATCTTTCAATGAAATGTATTTTGAGTAGTGATGCAACGAATACGAATACGAATATTCGTATTCGCCGAATAGTAAACATTTACCGAATATTCGTATTTGGCGAATACTGATCACGAATATTTAAAAAAACGAAAAATTTTGTACGCAACTCTAATTACTGACGGACTTGGATAACGCGCGTCGTCGGCGCGTAAAAAGTACGACGTGTGTTTTGGCCCTTAACCTCAACGACGGGGGACTCCCAAAAATATTTTTCACTGAAACTATGTACAGTCGCCTCAGAAAAACTTTTTTCAACGGCTGGGAACATCTAGACTAAAAAAAGAAATCGACTAAAACCAGAAAACCTACAAATTTTATGTTTTTTTAAATAAAAATTTGCCTATTGTAAATTTTAATTATTAGAACAATAGAAAATCATCAACTAAATTAGTTTTTTCTTACCATGGCGAGATATTCGTATTCGTATTCGCCGAATAGTAGGTTTGATATTCGTATTCGTAAAAGTAGTATTCATTGCATCACTAATTTTGAGGTATTTTTTTTAGAAAGCATGCGTGTTTTTACTAGTCAGACGTATATATAGGCTCTTTGTTTACTTTTAACAATAGGTAACATAAAAAACTATACTGCTATTTCTGCCGCCAAATGGCAGTCCTTGCACTGCTGTTTTTCTCTCTGAAGGGTAGAGAGAGCCAGTATAATTAATAAGTCTTAGTCCTTCAGAGGTGAAAACACATCTGAAGCCCTTTTTGTTTGAAATTTGCTGTTTGTGGCTATAGACTGCACTTACCATCAGCTGGACTATGTAGAACATTTGTCACATCAGTTTATTTAAATAAAATTTATTGTTTTTCTGCCTTAAAAATATCTCGAGCTCACACAACCGCAAAAGTTCCACTTGACTAACCGACCTTGAGTAAACAAACTCGGCTCTAGTAAAAATAATAAAAACACTACG